CTGTTAGAACTCAATGATTATCCTAATTATATTTTAGATTTTTTATATTTAAAATTAGATGTTTATCTACAGTTAGTTATACGAATTCAGATATGAGATGAAATCGGATAGGGATGAAATCTGGTTTAAGAGTTTTTTAAGAGTTTTAAGAGTTTTTAAGAATTTTAAGAGTTTTTAAGAGTTTTAGCCAAATGTTTTATAATATAGTATAGATATAGGGACAATGGGTTTTTGGTATTATTAAGTATTTTGTTAGAACTAAATGATAATTTTAATTATATTTTAGATTTTTTATATTTAAAATGAGAAGTTTATATTGTATTTTATTATCTTCATTACGAATTCAAATATGAAGTTTTAATAAATTGTATTTACATTCAATTTACTTGTAATTTTGAATTTTAAGTAATATGAGTTTTTATCAAATACTATATAATATTATATTACAAAAATAAGCAAAGTCCAAAAGATTTCAAAAGGAATATTCAGAATACAACTTCTAATTTTGTTTCCTTTAGTAAATAATTTACAGTAAATTACAATTTTTGTTCCTATGTTTTGTTAATAATTTATATTTTTATTTACGTAGTTTAGAAATTATGATTTTTGTTTTTATGGTTTGTAATTTATTACCATTTTCGTTTTTGGACTAATTCCTATTTTGTAAACGACAGTGATAAAAATAATAATAAATTATAGAGTAAATTACAGATTTGATCCTTGTGGTATGGAGATCTTTATGGGATTCGTCCTCATACTCTCTTTACCCTCAAATTTAACAAAGACAATAAACAACCGTTTGGTGTAAGGACCAAATGCAACAGAAATTGCATACCACAAGGATCAAACCCATAATAAATGAAATATGACGAATTACGCAAAATCAGCATACAACAAGGAACGAATCCATAATTCACTCTAAATTATAAATTATTGTGAACCAAAACAGTAAAAAATCAAAGTACATGAGACCAAAACAATAAAAAAATTAAAGTACATAGACCAAAACAGTAAAAAATTGAAAACCACATAAATGAAACAATAATAAGTTATAAATTATTAAAATGGAAGTCAGTTCAATAACGACAAATTATAAATCATAAAGATGAAAACCGTTATTTCTAAACCATAAGTACAAGAATCGTAATTTTCTATAAACTACAGGGACTAAAAACTTAATTTACTTAATATTAAATCAAAATTGTAATGCGGTGAACGTGGATCGAACACGTGACCTTCAGATCTTCAGTCTGACGCTCTCCCAACTGAGCTATCCCCGCAACGTGTTTTGTTTAACACTCTAAATTTAATAACCTTCTCCTATCCCCAAATTATCAAATTTCGTAATTATTTTTTTAAAAAAATATATAATATTTATACACGTCAGATGAAACAAATAAACCCACACACACCCTCTTCACCTTCAGTGATAAAAAAAATTAGCATTTTCTTTCTGTATCCATAATAGATATTTTGATCGGGAAAACATTACTATCATTTATGCACGTGACTCTTTATGAGGTACACGTTACATCGAATTCGAATTTGCAATTGTTAACATTGTGATATATTATTAGGGTATTTAAAAATTCGATTAACTTGATTAAGCTGGTTAATCCAATTTAATATGTGGTCATTCGATACCTAATCAAGTTATAAAATCTTTAAAATTGTAATTTTTTTTACACAAACGTCCATTTTTTCTAATCAAGAAAAACTGGTTTATACATATGCATAAATTTTTTACGTAAATAATAATTAGTTTGGGAATTGATTTAAAAATACAGATAACAAAGGAAATGATGAGAGGGAGATATGCTGCGTTTCCCCCTCTAATATTTTTTTTTTAGTTCCAAGGCAATGTTGTTAGGAATGTCGTTAGGTTGTTTTTTGAAGCGGCTACCAGCAGGTATGCTCTCCCCATAACAATGTTTTCTTTCAGGCCTTTCAACCAATCGATACGGTTCAGGAAAGCTGCTTTTCTTAAAACTCGAACAGTTTCTTGAAAGCTCGCTTTAGATATGAAGCTTTGAGTATTCATAGATGCTCTTGTTATTCCCAATAAAACGGTTAGGTAATAGATCGCTTCTTCCAAAGTGTGCCCCATTCGTTCCGCTCGCAACAATCCAGTTGGTTCTCCTATGAAAAATCAGACATTTCATCTTCTGAAACCAATACTTTTGATGTTATTTCACGTACAATAATTCTTTTTTTTTATTAACCTGGATATCCAACCCGTTATGCGAACCGACTAATCCCAGGACGACTACCTGCTTTGCAGATTGTCCAGAGTCACCGCATTTGAACCTCCGTGGTCACAAAGAGATTTTTATTTCTCCTTGGATTTGAACTTAGGACCTTCTGGTACTTTTGACATTTGGAGCCAATCTCAAACTAATCAGATATCACCCTTGTGGTTACGTACAATAATTTCTATATGCCTATTATGTATTTGCAGTTTCTGGGATCGATAAACCTATTTTAATCCTTTTTCCTATTTTCTTTATAGATTTTCAATTTAACTTTACTTTTTATAATCTATTAATATTGATTATTAGTTTTATATACACTAGAAGGGTACTTGTACAATGTAACGAGATAAATCTTATTTTAATGTTTTTTTTTTTTTGTCTTTATTGATATAATACGGTTTATGTGGTTTTGAGAAATTTTTTTTTTTTTATTTTTGAATAAAAATAATTTTGAAAACATCATAAAATTTTTAAAAAAATGTATTGATATTAATTATTTAAAAATTCTCGTTTTTGTATACAATTTATTTAATCTAATTTTTTATTATAATTTAATTTAAGTCAAATACTGAAGTAATTTATTTTTGGCTTAATAATAATTTTTTTATAAAGACAATGATTCTGTTAGAACTCAATGATTATCTTAATTATATACTTTTAGATTTTTTATATTTAAAATGTTATGTTTATTCTATATTTGATTATGTTTATCTACAGTTAATTATACGAATTCAAAAATGAAGCTTTAATAAGTTGTATTTACGCACAATTTATTTATAATCTTAAATTTTTTAAGTAATATGCATTAATATAGAATATTTCATACATAAAAAAAGTTTTTAAGAATTTTTATCAAATATTTTATAATACAGTATAAATAAATATTTCATAGTTACAAAAACTTAGAATTACAACTCATTTCTTTTTTTAGTTTAGTAAAAACATTACCATTTATATATATTCCTTTTTTTTTTTTTTTTTAATTTTGGGAAAAAGAAGACAGAAAAAAAAAGAAAAGGAATAATCGAACACAAAAGAAGCCTCCAAGAAGATCTTCATTCGCGGCGTCCCCTTGCCTACGATTAATCCACGCATCTGCGTCAACAATCAATTCATTACTCCATTCTTCTCGAAGAAGATCCAGACTGTTCTTCAGTCAGGTAATTTCATTGAATTCTGAAGATCTGGTTTAATCTTCATTAGTTTTTGATTGTTTAGGTTACCCGCTCTTATCTGTATACATGTTTAGATTTGTTGTTTCATTTTAAATCGTCCAGTTTATGTTTACTCCTTTGTTAATCAGGAGTCCGTAATCGTATTTTGTTCAATTGATGATTTATATTACTGTGTCATTGTGGATAGCAGAATATAAAGTTGAAGCTAGCGATGTTTGGTGTTCTCCGGAGAAAAGTCATTAGCGGAAGCTCTTCTGCTTCGGTAAGTCCCGATTTCATTCTCAAAATCGTCTGTTACGTCTTTGATCTGTGTTGTGTTTTTCATTTTTTTATATTTACCATTTCCTTCATCAAGAAAAAACAAGGTAGTCTGTGTCAGTTGTTTTGTATTTTGAGCTCAAATTTGACAATTTGTTGTTGTATTGATAAAATATGAGAATTTCGACAGAGTTTGTAGTTAATTAAACAATAAACAAAAGAAAAGAAAAAATAAATTTTGAATTAGTTAATTGGTGAATCTTCCAAAAAGAAAAGAGACCTAAAATAATTGGATGAGGGAGTATTACAATAAAAAAATTGTTCTAGAGCTAAAAACATCAATGTAAAATATGAAAATGGGCAGTGCTACAATTTTGAACTGGAGTGTAACAGCGGGAGGGAGGTGGAATAGTATATTATGTACTTGCAGAGTTATATAAAAATATATGATATGGACAGGCACTTAACATTATTTTACTGTGTTTTGAACAGATCATAGGAAAATCATGGCGAACAACTCGTCCCCTAGCATCTACAACTGTAACTTGTTTCACCCCAGAAGGAGAGGTACTGATTGTCTTATTATTCCGAAATCGTTTACTAATTTAATAATGTTTTGGAGCATATAATCCATGCTTTAGGATTTTCTGTTTTGATGGAAGTTGGTTTAAGCTTGTCAAACTCCAACACTAGTTTTGGACTGTGGTGTTTATGTTATAGAATACATTATTGAATTAATATTTTATGTAGTTGCATATTTTGTTAACTCAGTAAACTCCAATAATAGCTTTGGACTGTGGTGTGTTCATATTGCAGAATACATTATTTTCATGCTTCGGGAGTAAAAACGATATGTTATTACAATTTGGCTCAAGAATTTTATTTACAGATATATTATCTTGTTGGTTATCATGAATAAGAATAAACATGTGTGATATTGCCATCGAACTTCATTGGTGGGGACTGATTGAGCTATTTTTCTTACCAAGAGCTTAATGAACTTAAGTAATCACTGGTACTAAATTCTAGATGAAAATATCAGAAATTTCAAATCTGTTAATGAAATACAAATTTACAGGTATTACTCCATCCGGGAATTATTGGGAACATTAGAAGTATATGTCATGTTTCTCAACCTGGTAAGTTTCTGGTCAGCTTTTGGGTTGTACTTGCTGGAAAGCTGGTTTTTGAGCTATTTGTTTAGTACACGCATTTGATTCTTTCTCATACCATTGTCGTCACAGGTGGTGCATTGAATTTAAGGCCATTGAGGTTAGTGTATAATTCTATCTTTTTATTTCTGCTAACAAATAAATATCGGTGCTGAAATCTAGAGGCTTCTTTTGCAAACGTCCAAGCTTCTGATCTTAGCACTCGCTCATATCTGTAACCTAATTTTGCATCAAGATATTTGTCTCTTGTAGAATGACAAATGACTAGTGATGCGTGCTAGTGTGATTGCTCTAACTTCTACAAGACCTCTTTTTTTGCAGGGAAGTTATGACCAGTCTTCAGCCATGTGTCAGCATGCAAATGCATAGCAGAATGTTCTCCTCTGACAGTGGTGTGATATTCAGATATTCCTTTTTTTGACGTGTCATTTGTTAGTATGCCAATGTGTATGCATGCAATTAATACATGACATTTGTTAGAGACTTCTTTATCATGATGTTTTGCTTTGGTGTCTCACATATGGAAGAATTTATGCGTATACTGTAGTTCGTTTATACAGTCATGTATCTCTAAAATGTTATCAGTGATGCATGTTAATATTTTCTGAAATTTTGGAGGTGTTGAGTTGATTTGTGACACCTGCTGATCGCAAGTCTTTCAAGTAATGCACTAAAAGATGTTTCTGTTAAACTCAATGACTTGTGTTGTAATCTTACGTCTGCCACATAATATGGCTTCTATTTTAAGTCTTCTAAGTGTCTTTTTCCCTCTCTATTTCATGCTGATTGAAAATTCTTAATTTTTTAAAGTTGAATATCGTGTTTAACTTTTTCCAAGGTGATCTGGTTGATGCTGTTGTCCCTTTTATGGGTGAATCTATAAGTGACGGTACACTGGCAGCTTTCCTGAAGAGTATGTTCCTCTATTCTGTTATCAAGTCTATATTTCATCAACAATATTCTTTGTTATTGTTTAAGCTTCTGTTTCTAATTGATCTTCTTGTAACAGAACCTGGTGACAGAGTAGAAGTTGATGAACCAATTGCGCAAGTTGAAACAGACAAGGTATTTGTTATACTTCATCTTATTATCGAAGTTTCCAAACTTGTAAATGTCGGTATTGTTTTCCAACCCCAAGTTGAATTTGTTGCAGGTGACTATAGATGTTGCTAGTCCTGAAGCGGGTATAATTCAAGAGGTAAAATATTTGAAATTTTGAATGTGGCTGACGTTCAGATGGATAATGTTGTTGGATTCTAGAAAAGCTGAAATTGAGCTTTGATCTTGGTAGTTTGTAGCAAAGGAAGGGGACACTGTTGAACCAGGTACAAAAGTTGCTATCATCTCAAAGTCTGCAGAAGGTGCAGCTGCTCCATCCAAGAAGGCATCTGAAGACACTGTTTCTCAGCCACCACCACCTCCTGCTGCTGAGAAGATGGAGGAGAAGCCAAAGGCAAAAGTTGAAGCTACCCCTGCCATTGAAAAGCCCAAGCCAGCTTCTCCACCGCCTTCTAGAACCTCTGCATCAGAACCCCAGCTTCCTCCTAAAGAAAGAGAAAGACGTGTAAGTGTCATATTTTATACTAATGCTATAGTTATTAGGGAAAATTGCATGAAAAAGCAACGCACTTTAGTCTAATTCCTATTTTGTGTTAGATACTTGCAAAACCTTCATTTTGGTACCTCAAATGTGACATCTCAAACAATTACGTACCTGGTTTACGTATGAGAATGCATGAAAATGCAACATACTCATATCTGATTCCTATTTTGTGTAATATACTTTGGTCTATTTGAGATACCACACCTAAGGTATGAAAATAAAGGTTTTGGAAGTACGTTGCACAATAGAAAGTAGATCAAAGTACGTTTCCTTTGCATACAGTTTTCCTTAATATTCATCCTATACGATCGACACTTTTAATTTAACTATATTTTTTCTGTTGAAATTGGTTTCTTTGTTTTTGTTGCTTTTGTTTGTGGTTTATGTTATCAAGGTAATCCCTGTTTTTGTTCGACCTTCTATTATCACAACTGTTCTGTTATTTTCTGGTTTCCATATTCAACCTCAACTATTTGGGTTTAAATAATGTTTGATTGGTGGTGCATGTTTAATGTATTGCTCAAATGCAGGTTCCTATGACCCGGCTAAGAAAGCGAGTTGCTACACGTCTGAAGGATTCTCAAAACACATTTGCTTTGTTGACGACATTCAATGAAGTTGACATGTAAGTTCAAACTGTACATGTATATCAATGATGGCGTTTCAGGGGTTTCCCTTTGCCTTTACTTGCTGGGCCATGACATCCTTTCAATCGAAGGAATAAATCCTTTCTAACCTGTGATCAATTACAAGTTAAATGCTGTTTAGGAGTTAGATTATTAGAATTCAATGTAAATTCTATGGTCCCGCTTGTTTTGTAAGATTGGAATGGATTTGGAATTGAACACCAATCCAATCGCATGTTTGGTTTGAAGGATTTCATGGATTTGAAATAAACATGTTACATAGGATTTTGAAATCCCACGGGGGTGATTGGTAATTCATGGGATTTCGTAGGATTATAATAATGTTTTAAAATATGTTTAAAACATTTGTTTTGTAATAATCAGTTAATAAAAAGGCACTTTAATAATTTTCATAATTATTTATAATTTGTTTTTATATTCTTTTATAAATATTGGAATTCATAATGCCATTCCAAATCTTACAAACCAAATACACTAAAGATTTCAAACTCTTCCAAACCCAAATCCCTTTAGTTCTAAATCCTTCCACAAAAATCCAAATCCCTCAAAACCATTCCATCAAACCAAACACCCCCTAAGCTTGCAAGTTAATAAAAAGGATTATCTTCTCTTATTGGATACTACTTGCTTTTTTTCAGGACTAATTTGATGAAACTCCGTTCCGAGTACAAGGACGCCTTCTTCGAGAAGCATGGAGTCAAGTTAGGACTGATGTCTGGATTTGTTAAGGTATGTATATTTGTAGGAGTGGTCATATTGGCATATATTCTTTTGTGTGCTTTGATATCTGCTGCTCTCGATACCACCAAAGCTGCTCTTTCAAATTTCAGGCTGCTGTCAGTGGACTCCAAAATCAGCCGATCATCAATGCAGTTATTGATGGGGATGACATCATATATAGAGATTATATTGATATCAGCATAGCTGTCGGTACTCCAAAGGTACGCTTAAAATATTTAGATCATACATAATTGCTGCATACTGAGAAACTGAATTTGTGTCATTACAGTTGCACCAAGACTTCGGAGGTGGTCTTCCTCTAAAATACCCTTTTCAAGAAAATGCAGAAATTTTTATGGTTATCTTAAAGCAATGCAACATTTCCATTTTTAGAAAAAAATATAATTCAAATTTACTTATTTGCCTATTAGCAATTATTTCAAAGATATTTGTGTGACTGATCGTGATCCATAATTTTTCTTAATTTGGTCTTATTAAGATAGACTTCATATATTTTCAAAACTTTATCATATCACTCTCTCTTTGTCACTATTTTCACAATCCGGTGTCTTGACAGAAACAATCGCTCTACTCTTGGGGGTAGACATCAGGTTCAGGTCTACGTTCTAACACACATCTTACCCTCCTCAAACCCCACCTCCGGGTGGGATATACTGGTTTGGTTTGGTTTGGTTTAGTTTTGTATATGATTAGCAACCAAATACTCTTTGAAATTATGTGCTAAATTAAAATGTTGCGTCTTTTTTGGATGGATGGAGTATTAAATTTGCATTTAGAAGCTCAATTTGTACGCCCACAAAAGAACATCCTCTTAGCAAGTATTTTCTATTACCCATTTACCCCTAACCGGTTTGTCATGCTGTTATTGGATGACTGACCAGCTGTTTTTTTTTTACTTTCCTTAAGGGACTCGTTGTGCCAGTGATTCGCAATGCTGAAAAGATGAACTTTGCTGAGATAGAGAAAGAAATAAACAGTCTTGCTAAGAAGGCAAATAATGGAACCATATCCATTGATGAGATGGCAGGAGGCTCATTTACTATCTCAAATGGTGGTGTTTATGGAAGCCTTTTGAGTACTCCAATCATTAATCCTCCTCAGGTATGCATTTGCTCGTCCTTTTCACATAGAAATATAAAAAAGAGAAGAAAACGACTACTAGTCCTTGCCAAGAAATTAGTTTACTCATTCAGCTGCTGTTTACTTGGGGGCTGCTTATTAAACACTTGCTGCCTCTTACCGGGTAACTAAACACTTATTGCCTCTGAGCCGGTCAGAGATGATGGTCTTTACCAACAATCTTATTTTGTGCCAGTATGCTAGCCGAAAATTTTACCTAAATGACCCCTTAGTGCTGCTTGTTTCTTATTGGGTAACCTCTTATCCGGTAAGAGATGATGATGTTTACCTACTCTTCTGAATGATCGAGGTGTTGACCAAGTCAGCCACCAATATGTCACGTACCAAGTCAGAAAATGCTTAACCAACTAGTTTTTATAGATATGCACTTACTACAAACACTTGGTAAACAACCATTTTGGGTCTGTGCTTACCCTGACTGAACCTCTTCACATAGACCACACTTGTACCTAGGGGTGTAAACGAGCCGAGTGGAGTACTAGATTATTCGAGCTCGAATAACTTTTTCAATGTAGGTCTCGAGCTTGAGTATTTTTTGAGTTATCGAGTTTGAGCTCGATGCTCGCTTATGGGCTCGAACTCACGATCGATTAACTTGTTTATTGGCTCAAGGTTGATAAATTTTTATATTTTTATTGTATGATTTATGAACATATTAGCATGTTCAGGTCAAAAAAGTTTATGCTTGAATGGCTCAAGTCGGCTCTACTCGAAAAATTTAATCGAGTTTTCGAATGAGCCGAGTCGAAACATTGGTATTATGAAGCTCGGCTTGTTAAGTAGAACAAGTTTTATTTTGTGTTCGAGCTTGAGACAAACGAGCTCGAGATCAAGTAGCTTGTTAAAAGCTAGACTTATTTACACCTCTACTTGTACGCGGTTAGCACCTACCCGATTTGTGTTGGTAAACGCTCCATAAGCTTTTTTTTCACATGAAAACAACCTCTAACCCTAGGGGTGGAGGAAGGGAAAGGACTATGTTCATTTTACCCTCCCTACTTCAGTATAGGATCCATCGAGTTTGTTTGATTTGGTTTATTAATGCATGTATTGTGCAACAGTCTGCAATTTTGGGCATGCATTCAATCGTGAGCCGACCAATGGTGGTCGGAGGTAACATAATCCCAAGACCTATGATGTACATCGCCCTAACCTATGACCATAGGCTGATCGACGGAAGAGAGGCAGTGTTTTTCCTCCGCCGAATTAAAGACGTGGTTGAGGATCCAAGGAGGTTGCTTCTTGACATCTAAAAGGGTCGATAACCCGATTTTGCTTGATTTCTGGTATACTTGAAGCAAGCTTAACCAGAATAATCGTCTTTGATGCTAAAAAGTTTTGTACGCTTTTGTCGTTTTGTTGCGGCCAAGACATGTTTGGATTCGATACGAATGTTAAGTGATAGCATAACAAATGTTTCAATACTGCTCAAACCATGCATATGTTGCCCTGTTGGTTTGTGCTTCTTGTGGAACTCCTAAACCATACTTGAATAACTTTGGATGAACAACATTTTTGGTGATGTTTCTTGGATTCATTATGTTAAATCTATGTTGGTATTTGCAAGAGATGCGGAATCCTATCAAGATTACTTTTTAAAAGAGCCATCGGGAAAAGAATAGATGTTATAATGTATGGTATAGTTGCAGGTGGATCTAGAATTTTTTTTTCAAGTGGTGACATTGTTTGACTATGAAAAAGTATTGATATATTTTTAATAAAATCATCATTGGTCTGCTGGTTAGTTTTCTGTTTTTTGTACATAAGATTTGCTATTTAAGGCTTTTATTCTGATTTTTTTTAAGAAACATAATAAACTTAACTAAAAGAGATATAAATAAACTATGAACCTGTGCCTGGAAGGGTAAAACTGACTATGCAAACGATCTCTACAAGAGAAATTTATATCATTTATGTTGGTTTGTGGAATATACAATTGCATCCAACATAATAATACAATAGCCAATGGTGGACCCACGAGTTTTGCGGAGTGGGTGCACCTTCAAGGTTTATAAAAAACTCACAACGTTCTCCGTTATGTTTTTAGTTGAATTTCATTGTTTGAAGGGATTCTTCAAGTTTTTTGGGTTGGTTTCGACACTTTATCGGGCTTCTTTGGTTGATTTCGAGGGACTTTTTCAAATTTTAATTGATTTCTTATATTTTATATTTTAGCAGAAACATTTCAAACCTTAAAAAGATTCAACTTACAAAAATTGGTTGAGGCGGGCCTTTATAAATCCGCCCTTGATCATAGCATCTTTTACAACCCTAAATTTTTATACTACTAAAGTGATAATCCATGCCACTATATGTATTGTTGACGTGCACGTCTAGATTAGTGTATTTCTCTTGTATTTGGTTATGCCTAGAATGTTTGTATATATGTTGCCATTAGATTTTGTTTTTGTCGGCCACAGAAACCATTTGGGCTGACCGTAGTCGGCCAACCCTCACAAGTCACAACTCAAGTCGGTCGCCAACCTAAGCGACGGGCCTCCTTACCAACCTTTGACCGCGTGGCCTGTGGGAATGGGAAATGCCATTTGCCGCGTTCACAATGGAAGAATCTTGAATTTGCTTGCTTGCATGGTAAAGATGACATGATAAAATAGATAATTTTTCAACATTTTATAAGATAGAACTGAACAAGATAAATAAGTTGTTTATATATTTTGATTAATTTATGTAATTTATTAAATTATTATAAAATAAATATATTTTTACTTCACTAGAAAATTTTCGTCAAGACGATTAAAATGACACTAAAATAAAAAACTTATGTGGTTTTCAATTTTTATTTTATACAGTATATATATAAGGTTGGGTTCCGGTGAGAAAGAAAATTGTGGTGAAAAGCGTAAAAAGGATCTCCACCATTGGATTGATCTTAATTGAATTCAACACTAATGAGGTGTGTCGAGATGCACTAGATAAATTCTCTTATAAAACACAGTTCATGGGTGAACATGAGTTTAAAATTAATCAAATGTTTAGATTTCTTCTTACACTTCTCACTATTGATCATTCACACACACACACATATAGTCGCCGGATCTCTCGAATTTCCCTAAGCTGCTGAAGATTCAAAGGGCGAAAACTGAAATGAGAAAGGCTTGTAGACTCGGAGTTGAGCATCCCTCTCGAAAACGAAGATTTGATGTGGTCTGAAAGTTCCATTTCAAGGTAGGACGACATGTGTGTGTCTGTATATATATATATATATAATTTTATTATCATTAATATTTAATAAATTACATAAATAATCAAAATATAGAAACCATATAAAAACAATATTTTGAGGACTGTAGAATGAAAGTTCAAAAAACATAAAATACAATAAAAAAATATAAATAATGAATAAAATCTAAAGATGGAGGCGTATTTGATGTTTTAAAAGATAATTAGTTTTTATTATAACGTTATATTAGTAAAATAAAGGTTTGTTCTGCCTTGTTCACTTGAGGCAAAAATGTCGAACCTTCACAGCAAAAACACTGTGAAAGTTACCTTTACATTGTTTTGCTGTGAAGTTTCAAATATAAAAAAGTGATCTCATGGGTCTCACGAAAACAAGCCGGTCTCACATGGACCCAACCCTATTGGACCAACTAGAAAAAAAATACCTTACTTTCACCTCCTCAGATAGAAGAATATGATTCTTTCATTGAGAAACAAGTTGAGGTATGAAGATCGAAAGATGTAGTGAAAAGAAATAAATGTAATAAACCCTACGTTTTTCATCACAGTTCTCCTTTTCTTCGATAATTTTGGTCTCAAACTGCTTTGAATCTTGTGAAAATTTTACAAGAAAGAAAAGAACAAGATGACGCCTCTTTTGTTTACGATGCTCGCAATCGAGATAGGAATGATCATGATCCTCCTGTTTCACTCACCTTTGAGGAACTTGGTCATGATGGGGTTGGATCGTTTGAAGCAGGGCAGAGGTCTCGTGACCTCAAGAACCGTTGCGGCAACATTATTTGTAGTATTTGTATTTAATGTATACAGTATCGTCAAAACTCAAAAGCGCATGATGGACGTTGGATCCACTAATCCAACGGATCAGGTTCTTATGGCTAATCATGTTCTCGAGGCATCACTCATGGGTACGTCATCTTATTTTTCAAATATATTTCAGTATTTCAGGTTTGTTTTACACATATTTGTTTTTAAGTAACGAGATTTATGTGATGTAGGGTTTTGTCTGTTCCTGGGATTGATGATAGATAGAATTCATTACTATGTCAAAGAGTTATGGTTGTTGAGAAAAAGTTTGAAAGCGGTTCATAGTCAGATAGGTGATTCTGATCTGATTCCATCCGTCAACAAAATCAAGAAAACTCGTGAGACGTAATCAGATTGAATCAATCTTCATGTAAATAATTCATCCTTGAACTAAATGACTGAAAGACGTAGTCAGATTGTATTTTACGAGAGTTTATGTTTTCAGTTATCATTGTTCAGTAAAATACATATATCTGAATTTAATTTGTGTAATTTATAAAAAAACAAATTCAACATCATCTATGTAAAGTAAACTACATGAATTGGTTTTTTATGCCCATATGATACTTGCTTGTGGATTTTCTATTTGTATCAATTTAAACGTTGTGATTTAACAAACTTTTGAATAATTTTTTTTTAATTGACTTTTGAGTAGAGATGACCAAATGGGTCCGGTCTGGCCCGGGACCGGCGGAGGATCGGGAACGACTTAGGACCGGTCCGGCCCGAGACGGATTGGGACCGCTGATTAAGAACCGGTCATGATTTTCATCAAAAAACAAGGCCTGGCCCGGCTTGGCCCAAGACCGGTTTGGGACTGGTTATAGGTCTGGCCCGATTTTTTTTCAAAAAAAATGTTTTTATATGTATTTTTAACTGTATTTATAATTTTCTAAGTGTATTTGATTGAAAATCAAATTACAAATTTACAATAAAACATATTTTTTTAAGTGTATTTGATTTAAAAACCAATTATAAAACTATAGCAAAACGTAATTTTTAGTGTATTTGATTGAAAACCAATTATAAAACTACAACACAACGTATTTTTTAAGTGTATTTGATTGACCTAATTAGATATTTTTAAAGTGTATTTGATTGACTTAATTAAATATTTTCAAGTGTATTAGAATAACATTATATTATTTTTTTTAAAATATAAAAAGAATTTTTTGTAATATAAGACCAGTTTGGGCCCGGTCTGGAACCGATTACCGTAACAAGTTACAAATACTTTTAACCGGGCCTTAATATTTTCGACATAACCGATTATGAGCACTGTTTCGGCTTCGACCCTACCCAAGACCGGATTTTAGCCATCACTACTTTTGAGTATGAATCATTGTAATTAAAGCAAGTATGAATTTTGAAAAATGCCAAAAACATATACACACAAATAATCAAACCACTTTGAACAAATGTAAATGCAAAACAAGAACATCACACTTAGGTACCAAAGTCTTATATCATTGAGAAAAGGGTAGTTTCTTCTTTCCATGTCTTTTCAGTCCCACAAAGATTCAATATAAATCAAATTGAATCATATGTCTGTAGAAACTTTTTTTGGTTTAGTGGTATCGTAGTTTTTGGCCTTTTAAAAGATCAGGGGTTCAAATTTCACCAAATATGAGAAGGGTGTGTAAGTTTATTTGTTGTATATAAATATTATATACTTCAAAAGAAAAAAAAATATCTCATTTAAAAATAAGGTCTAAAAAGATAAGATGCATGCAGACTACACATTTATCGTTAAGATTAAAAAGATGTTTCAATAAATTGTTTTAACTTACAAAAATCATTTGACTGAAAAAGGATTTTTATATAATGCTCTTCCCGTCCTAAAATAAGTGTCCACAATTGAAATGACACACAGTTTTAGATGTGCATGTTTAATCAAATGACAATTTTACCTTTATTTAGTTTCTTCTTTCTTCACAACTCATAATTATTCGTGTATTGATTAAGGGTATATTCACACAATCATTTTGGAACAAAATACAAATGAAAATGTAAGTATCTATACATAAAATACTGTCTATTGATGCATATTACTTAAAATTCAATATTACATGTAGATTGTGCATAAGTACAATTTATTAAAGGTTAATGTTTGAATTCGTGTAACTAACTGCAGATAAACATAGTCAAATAAAAGACAAACATGTTATTTTAAATATAAAAAATTTAAAATATAATTAGGAAAAATTTTCAGTTTTAACATAATACTTAATTATCATTCTTATAAAAAATTGTATTTTTAAATCAAAAATAAATTACTTTGTGATTAAATTTAAAATTAAATTATAATAAAGATTGAATTTAAAAAATTATAAAAAAACAAGAACTTTTAAATAGTTAATATTGATATATTTATTTTCGAAATTTTATGATATCTTCAAATTTATATTTTATTTAAAAATAAAAACATTATTCCTTTCTCAAAACCACATAAAAACTGTATTAAAACATCTATAAAAACTAAATAAAACAAACATTAAAATCGAGATATATTTTACTACATTACACAAATACTTTCTAGTTTTAAAAATAAAATTGCATTGTACCCTTATCCATTTCACCTACTCATCCAAACCAGAAAGAAAAAAAATGGGCATGTATGTACCCTTTGACCTATTGGTCAAAAGGGTATTTTCAAAAACCTTAAATTTATAGATAAGAGCATCAAGTAAATTACCAAACTACCCTCAAAAAGTCAACTAATTTGGTATGAATGATGACTTTCTTGAAGGGTGTTTGCCTAATGTCTAGTAGATTACCACAACCACCCCACTAATATACCGATAAACCAGCCTCCAAGCCCAAAATGGACACACCAAGAGCCAAGGCTACTTTGGGGGCAAAATGGGGATATCACTTAATTTATGTGCCAATGTGGCCCAAAAATGGAAGCTTTTACTGTATTTTCATAGATTTATATTTGAAATTTCTTTAAAATAGAAAAGTAAAAATTAAAGTTTTAAAAAATATATATGTATATTTAACTTCAATAAATTGTATTTTAAAGTTTTCAGTATTAAAATATGTTATTAAAATATTTGTTTATTTCAATATAATAATAATAATAATAATAATAATAATAATAATAATAATAATAATAATAATAATAATTCAATTTCAAAAAAGAATAAAAAATTAATTTCTCTTTCATCATATTTAATAAGATTGTTTGTTTAGTAAGTGGTGGTGCTGAAATATGAATTTTGAATCAATAAGATTATTTGTTTTTGTAAATTGATTACTGTCTGAATTTGTTTAAATTGTCTATTTTACCGACTAAAAAATTATAATGTTGAATTTCTAGATAAATTTATACAGTTTCACATATGAATTCATCATCATTACGAAATTTATTATAATTAGCATTCATTTAAACGAAAATATGCCATTAATGGTATTTAACACACCTATTAATTTACACCAATTAAGAGATGTGAGAATCGACTTAGTAATGATCAATTAAGAAAAAATGATCGATTTTGGTTACTCGATTGAGAAACGTTGTTGCTAAAGGTTTCGAAAACAATAAGAGACAAATAAGAGATTGGTTTACCTCTTACCCGATAAGAAGATAAATAAGATACAAGTGCCTCTAAAGAATTGAAAAAAAAAAAAACAAACAGTTTGAATGACTTTACCTCTTAACGAATCAAATATAAGAAGTTAATAAGAGCTTTTTTTCAACATCAATAATTATTATATAAAATTAATAAAAAATACATAAAAATTTAACAAAATATGATTTCACCTAAAATTCAAAAATAAAAACCATAATTCTTATATAATAACTCTAAAAATATAAGTGATTTATAACAACTCTTTTGATGAGGATCAGTAAGAAAAGGGTGGTTGACTTTTTTAGGGTCTTCAGTTTAAAATAAGCCAAGAGGAAAAGTCAAAATCATTGACTCCCTCAAAACCTAATTCCAATTTCTTCTTCTTTGGCTTCAAATTACCAAACAATTCTAGATGGGAAAATTGGTTGACCTGCCAAAGAATTTGACTTTTGTGGTGGTTTAAAAGATGTCAAATACTTTATTCACCCACAAAAATCAAGAAAATGGAATAAATCCACACATCAAAATCAGATATTACATGAAATTTTCTTGTCGGTTAAAAGACAGTTAACTGAGATGAAACTTATGGCGTCTGATTATTGATGCATTTATGGTGATTTTAAGGGATTTTTGCTGATCGGGTAAATTTACTGATCCGTTTGAACTATTCAAGTTTTGGTAAACGGGGTTGGGTCATTGGTTTTCAATTGAGGAAAAGTTAATGAATTTCGTTTTGGAATTTGATTGTTTCTGATCATGTCCCATCCAAAACTCCAATACATATATTTTATATAAGAGCAAATTGTATGAAAAAGTAACATATTTTGCTTTGATTCCTGTTTTGAATAACGTACTTTCAAACATTCGATTTAATACCTAAAATATGAAGTATCAAACATTTAAGTATCAATGTAACCAGTAAGAATTAATCGGTTACCAAAACTGATCCAACATCCAACTGAATATTATTCAGATCGTAATCAGTCTTTATTTGAATTTATATATTATATTTATTTATGTGAAATATATAATTTACAAATAATTATAATATATAAATTCTAATAAAATAAATAAATTTGAAACTAATTTTAACTATAAAAAATCCATTACACTAGTCAAATTACCAAATAATATTGAATTTGATGTGATATCATTCGTTGTATCAACATTAGTAACCAGTCAATACTTAAACCGGTTACTCATATATTTAAATGTTTGAAACTTCACATCTTAGATACAAAAACGAAAGTTTTAAAAATACGTTACCTAAAATAAGAATCAAGACAAAGTGTGTTATTTTTTACCCTTCAACGGAGGAGTAATACGGTGACACGCGTCACCGTATGCCCAACTATAGGTCCGTCCCTGGCGGCTTCCAATTATCAGATTTTTGAAAAGACGACGGTAACAGTTAAATATAATAAAACGGTATTTAAGAAAACGAAAAGATTTAAAAACATAACAAATGATTCGAGTCTTTTATTTCAAAAAATTTATGGTAAATTAAATGATCAAAATCAAGAAATCTTGATACAATCGAATGCTCCAAGACCTCAATATCTTCATCTCTAACTAAGCTTTCAACCTCTCGTTGTTCTTGTTCTTCCAAATTCAAATTCAAAAAACGAAACGAATCCGAACGATCGAAACCGCCATCGCGAACCTCCGTTTCGTTAATCGGATTACTTCGAACCGTAATCCAATCTTCGTCGTCCCAATTGGGAAAACTTGGAGTAGCTTCAACCAATTGGTTTATCCTCTCCGCAGGAGACTCGCCGGAGAAATTCTCCATCTGGGTCGCAGGCGAAGGTTCCGTCACCGATAAAGATTCCCAGAAACCGTGATCCAATATACTCGTCGGAGACTTTCTTGTTTCGAAACCCGAATCCGAATTACACACAAATGGGTGTTGAAGGAGTTCTTTTGTTGTCCATCTCTTTTTAGCATCTATGTTCAAACACTTCGCCAAGAAGTCTTTGCCGTCCTCCGGCAGCCATTTGGGAATCTCCGGTAAGTCATTGGAATATCCAATTTTGTACAAAGCGGAAACCGGGTCGGTTATCTCCGGCCACGGGTTTGACCCGGTTGCCATTTCGATTATTGCACACCCAAGAGCCCATACATCAGCTGGAAACCCCTGTTCGTCACCTCGTGCTACCTCCGGCGCCATGAAAACCGGTGTACCGGAAAACTGAGAAGTGGTGGCTCCGCCGTTTTCCACCAGTTTCGCACAACCCAAATCGCCGATCTTGACACCATCTTTGCAAATTAACAAATTCTGGCATTTGATATCGCAATGCGCAATGTTATTGAAGTGAAGATAATCTAATCCGAGAAGAATCTGATGAGTATAAGACCGGATCAGCGACTCATCAAGCGATCCTCCTTGCGACTTGATCACATCGGAAATGGTGCCGCCGGCGGCATACTCCATGAACAGATTATATGTGGGTTTGTTGTTATGATAATCGACATCAAAACCCATGTACTGGATTATGTTTTTTGAGGTTAATTTAGAAAGAAAGTGTTGTTCTTTCTGTAGGAAACCAGAGGCGGAAAGCTCTGTGGATTTGCAGGCAAAAAGATCTCCGGTGGTGGTGGTGGCAACGTATACGGCGGCGTAATATCCCCGGCCGATTATAGGACCTCTTTTCCATTCCATCTTAGAGAGCGAAGCAAGAGAATTTTGAAGGGTGTGTAAGGTGTGATTTGATGACATATCAACATAGAAGAGACCATATATATATATACACACACAGAGTCTCTCTCTCTCACACACACACATATATATATATATATATATATATAGATATATTTATATATAGGGATGTTTTTTTTATTACTAAACATTTTTTAGAACTAGTGTATCATGTGATAGGGATGTTTTTTCTTACTATTAAGATTTTTGAGAACCGATACATCATATGATGGTGTATATAATTATTTTTATCTATGGTTAGAATTTAATGTATTGATTAACATATATTTATTATATAATGTGTTTGTTTTACATCTACTCGGTTTACAATGTAAATTTTTTTGATGTGTTTGTGAAGAAAAAAGTAAACAAAAAAAGTTTCACATTGCAAATCGAATACATACGAAACAAACACATTGTAAAACAAATATATGTTAATTAATACATTAAATATTATATTTAGTTGGGAAAAAACTTAAGGTAAAAGTTTTCATGAATCTAACATATTTTGGGGTTCTCAAATGATTAAGCTCGTATGTATATGTGAGAGGTTTAAAATACAAACTATGTAATTATTATATTATATATAAATCAATCTTAGTTGTCCATCTAGTCTAATAAATATCTGATTTCATTATGTTTCTTAATCTAAAGTTATGAGCATAATGAATAAACCTAATCATCTTTGTATATCTCAACCATAATTAATGAATAATGATAGTTGTCCATAAGGGTGCGTTTGGTAGGCGGAACATGATGGGACAGGACAGAACAGAACACATTTGTCCCATGTTTGGCATGTGTTTATATGGAACAAGGTGGAACTAACTAGAACAAATATGGAACACGCCTGTCCCTCCTCCCCCCCTGGAACTAAGTGGAACAAGGAAGCATTTTACCCATCTACCCCTAAAATTAGAAAACCTAATCACTCTCTCCTCTCTCGTCCTCTCAACTCGTCTGCCTCCATCGCTTCCTGCCTCCATCGCAACTCGTCTCCTTCATCAGATCTGGCTCTCAACTCGTCTCCTTCATCAGACGGCGACCATCGTCTGCGACCATCGTCTGCGACCATCGAATGCGAGTTCCGATCGGCGTTCTTCTCTTCTCCACTGTTCCAGACGACGGTACGCTTCCTGCCTCCATCGCTTCCTTCATCGACGGCGACCATCGACGGTACGCTTCTCTTCTCTCCATATCCAGTCGAGGTTTTTCATCGACCATCGAC